TCGCCAATCCAATATCCATAAGCACCTGCTGGCAGGAGCTGAAGCAGACCTACGGGGTCGAGATGGTTGGAGGCACGCGGCAAATGGCCGAAATCCAGCATGCCCAGAATGCCCAACGTGACATGCTTCGGGCTTTTCCTTCTTCGGAGCCTTATCCTACAACATGGTTGGTCGGTCACGATACGTATACGTGTATTTACACCCGGTCGTATATAGATTTCTGAACCGAGGTGCCCATTCGCTACGTCCTGGTCCCTATGCGAAGATCAATGAAGGATGACACCGTGGTGGAAAGGATTATCTTGCATATTTGCATAATCCTCCAGCTAGTGCTAGCCAATACCGAAAGCATGTACCATGTACCGTGTGCACAGGAGAATGCCGTTGGTGTTGCCGCACGAGCTCATGCTGGAGCTCAGTGCGAAGGGCCACCTGGAACCCGGCCTACATGCTGAGACTAAAAGGTTTTGGAGGCATGTGGAGGAGACTGGTTCCGAGCACCCGTGCACCGAGGGTAAGATGCACAGGCCTTTGGGGTTGTACGGCGACGACGCCCAGTTTGACAAAAACGCCAACAAGCTCATAGTGTTTACATTGTCGGATTGCCTGAGCACGGCGACACACTCTATGGCGGCGACATGGCCGCTGTTTGTTCTGCGAGATGTAGATAGCTGCATTTGAGCAAGCCGGTTTCTGATTCACAGGACTTGATGTCTTTATATTTAAAGATTCCAAAACTATAGCGATACAGATGCAAGCAGCTAAGGGCCTGTCGCTTGGGTTTGACACCTTGAATGCCTACCTGGCCCCGGTGCCCTTTCTGCAGCATGCTGTAATTAGGAATTCCAGGTTTGTGCAGTTAACCCCAGCTGCCCAGCTGAGATCGCCATATCCTTGAATATTCTATTCTATGGACGAGAACCGGCCACCCCACTACACCTCGAAAAGGAGTTCACGCGGGACAGATGGGAGAATGTGATCAAACCGAACTTGAAGGATGAACCCCTATTCAAGGATTGTGGCGAGGACGAGCCACGCTTCTTCGCTGTGACAGAAGTTCGGGGCGACTGGAAGTTCGTGAAGGTGAACATATATTATTAGTTTATTTTAAGTCTCGGGTTTAATTGTTCTGATATACGACATATGCAAGTAATAAAATTACAACCCGCAAACACCCAACCCGCAAACATCCCCTAGCAGGCCCTCTACAACATGAATGTCGGCTGGAACAACAAGTGCATATGCATGCACTGCCACATGAAACTCAGTGAATATGTTCAGTTCCCCTACAACCTGGATAATGTTCAACGACGCGATTGGGAGAGCTTCACTGCCGGCCTCAAGCCAGACTCCTCCGGCGAGAAATGTGGCCTGGGCCATCACATCATAATTATCAGTTATCCATATATTTGTAGCAGTGAATCAACAACCCAATATTCATGAAGAGCTATATTGAACCGAAACGAGGTGCCCTACTGTGGGTCGAGGGCCTGAAGCACGATGTCATTCGTTGGTGCTCCCTCCATGTTATCAATTTGGGGTACGCTGGATGGGTAGGAGCCTCGACCATGGAGTATCTTCTACAGAAGGACCGGTGCCTTAAGTTGTAGAGGGACTAGAATAATTAATCTACGCAACCTTAGGCCCCTTAGACCCTGTTCCCTATATTGTTGATGTTACGTCTAATATATACATATATATATATACACACATATGATATATAATAACTGAATCCCTTTCACCCTGGACTCTATAAAACCAAGATCCCAAGCCCTCAACATCTCAAGCCATGTAGCCATTAACTCGTGCATCAATACAAGCCCTTAGCCTAGCTTTGTCTACATTTCAGACTTAAAGCCGCTAAGCCCTGTATATTTTTAAATTTGGCTCTCTCTCTAGCTATATATATATATATATACATATCTAGTCTATTTAAATATACCTTTTTGAGATATGCGATCTTACTCGTTGGGGAGTTGCTGGGCGGTCTTAAATTCATATTGCACCATATACTGCGAACCCTACAACCCTATCTAGTAGCCCTATTAACAGGAGGAGTTGCCCTTCTTGTGGGGTGGGCACGACCTGTGCTTGGGAGAGCGGCTTTTGCGAGCCTATCAAGATTTCTCATCGTGGACACGGGCCCGGGGAATCCAGCTGCTCAGTCGGCATTATAATAGTTCTATGGGTTCTAGTGGTGTTTGTGATGTTTGGTTCATGGAACAGGCATTCTCAGCCGCCATTCAAGACGACCTTCTTCAAGGGAGGAGGCGAGGACTTTCACGCCATGGCCGCTAAGGGGTACAATGCTGCATGGCTTTATTATATTAGTTAATCGGAAGAGCCGAGAGTTATATTGCCTGGTTGTATATATACCTCTATATCTAAGGCGAGGTGCATTATCGCCTGGCTTTCCGACACCGTGCTGCATCTGCTGATGGAGCTACAGGAGGACCCTGACATGCGATTGCTGGCCAGCTGTGTGAGACTAGCTACCAAAAGTAGTATTCTATTTAAATTTATGATTAGTATCTCGACCGAATCAATCCGTACAACGTGAATCTATGTGTATATTGTTGCACTATAGTTTCACTCCTAAATTAAACTATAAACCCCTAAACCCTAAATTATAATTTAAGCCCAGACCCTAACCTGAAGCTTTGGATAACGCTCAGGTACCATTTGGCCGAGCTCTTCAACAAGATGGAGCAAGAGCCGCGGCTCCTGGCACAGGAAGCAGCAGATCGAATGAAGCAGCTGATTGCCACTAGGAGGAATAAATGCCCAGTTTCGTAATGATGAAATCCGACCTCGATCTTAGGATTTCTCTACGACGAGCTACGTCCGGATGGCGAAGCGAATGGTCGGTGCAAAGATCATGATGTTTCCTTTGAAACCGAAGCTGCACGCAACTTGGTGGATAGTATGCCTGGGATACATCAAACCCTAAACCCTAGACCCAAAACCCTAAACCCTAAACCCGCGATATAACCCCAAGCATCCGAGGCAATGCAGGAGTTGGCCTACTGGGTCACGCATGATCGTCCCACTGCTGCATTATTATTATAATTGCCAGTATATGTGTGCAATATCTTTACAGTGCCCGTGCGAGCTTGCAACCCAGGTGTGAACCCCAGAAGCTACCACACGTTCAAGGATGAAGACCTGAACGGAAGAGTGGTCCGCAACTTGATTGCAAGCCTTCCAGCCCTCTAATGCCCTCGAGCTCATGTAGCCCAGGAGTCGCGAAATGCACAAGTGCACAAAATATGGAGCCGGCGGTTCTCAGAAGGTACTACAGCTGGTGCCGTGGTGACAATATTAATTCGCATGTTTCGCCCAGTGCATGATTCCTGCAAAGCTGCCATTATCCCAGGCTGGAGTTCTCCCGGACATGCGACTTTGCATCCGATGATGACATGTGATGCATATGGCCTCGAGCTCTAATTAGTGCTTTTCCAGCTAGCTGTGCCAACCGGGAGCTGCAACAACCCTTAATATTACCCGCGACCCCTATGCCCTACAGCTATTGGGGAGGTTATAGCTAGGTCCTAGGTGGTTGGGTCAAGCTGGTGCACTGTGCATGGCCTCGACGACGTCGGCAGTGCATCGCCGCAAAAGGACATGGCAATTCGTTGGGGTTTGGGGTTTTAGCTAGGTGTTAGGTTTCAGCTAGGCTTTGAAAGGGTTTAGCTACGGTTTAGGTTTAGCTAGTAAGCTTTAGGTTTAGCTAGTAAGCTTTTGCTAGGGTTTATGGCGATATATAGTTATAGGGTCAAACAAGGGTTTAGGGCCTCGGGTTTAGCTCGGGTTTAGGGCTCAGGCTTTAGGGTGTAAGGGTTGGGCTGTGTATGCATGCACGCATGGTGCAGATATATTGCAAATACAAACTTTGGTGTATTTTGGTGTTATGAGTATCGTATATATCTATATATCTATATATCTATATATCTATATATCTATATATCTATATATCTATATATCTATATATCTATATATCTATATATCTATATATCTATATATCTCTATATATATATATATATATATTATATATTATATATATATGCATAGCGAGATCCTTGGGATCGAGCTTCAAGCCTGGCAACGGTCTGAGGCGGTCGCTGAAGTTATAACCTTAAACCCTCAACCCTAAACCCTAATTATAATTACGATGAAATGTATGTTATTCGGGCATCGAGAATCAACCTCAACCAATTGTGGAAATTCAGGCAAAAACCACCGAAACCCCATACCAGCGTTATTGCGTTATTTGCCAAACAAGGCATTACAGATTTAAAATGCCCCATCTAGGCTTTTCCCTCTAAAGCCTTACAGAGCAAGGCTTTAGGAGCATTAGGGTACCAAGGCAGGCCTAGCAATTCGAAGTCTTTGAAGCCAAAGTGCACAAAAGACATCTGCCTCTCTGCAGGGCTCTTATGAATTCTAAATCGGTACTGTGCAGCACCTTTTGGAGGTACTTTCCAGCACCTGCACCAGCAAATTTCCAAACTCCCGCCCGCAACTCAAACCTTGAACTGTGTGACCCCTGACTGTTGTCCCGCCCGCAACTCAAACCTTGAACTGTGTAACCCCTGACTGTTGGCCTTAACTGTGGTACTCTGCAGCACCACTGCTGAGGTACTTTCCAGCACCTGCCCAAGCCTAGAGCTAGTTGAAGTTCAAGACCCCAGCTCCAAACCCCACACCTTACCCTGCGACACCTAGGTTGGCACTCAGCTGCTGCCAAGAATTTAGTAAGCATCTGAACAGCTGGAGTCTTTAGGGTTTAGGGTTTAGGGACGGACGTGGAGAGGGATGATGCTTGACCTGAGCAGGCCTTTGGGGCGGCTTGCATCCTTGCTCTCTTGGCAGGCACCTGCCAAAGTTCATTTTCGAGTCTAATGTGCAACGAGCAAGGACGACACGTGCCTCTTCAGCTTTGGCTTCGGATGGGCTCGCCTTCCAAGTCTCCACAGAAACAGATTGTGACAGAACCTGTCCTACCAAACTGGAATGCAGAGCCAGCCCTGCCTTGGCTGCAGCCTGTCCATGTCAGAACGTCTCTCGCAAGGGCTACACGAATGAAAACAAGGGCAGAAGAGCCGGCCTCCTTGACAGCATCTTTCTGCATGAGCTCCTCCTTCAGGGCAGTGATCTCGATCTCCTTCGCAAGGATCTCCTGCTTGTGCCCCCTGAGGATCTCCGACCGGCGCCGTTCATCCTTCGCAGAAACATCCTCGAGGACCTTCTTGAGCTGCTGCTCATGCTGCTTGTTGCTCTGGCTGAGTGCCCCATGGAGCTCCTGGTTGTGCACAACAGCCTGCTCATAGAGGGACTTGTAGCTCTGCTGGGATTGCGCCTGGTCACTCAGTGGCTGTATCGAGTCCT